TGTGTGTGTGTGCGTGTGTGTGCGTGTGTGTGCGTGTGTTGTGTGTGTGTGTGTGTGTGTGTGTGTGTGTGTGTGTGTGTGTGTGTGTGTGTGTGTGCGTGTGTTGTGTGTGTGTGTGTGCGTGTGTGTGTGTGAAAGAGAGAGGGGCTGATGAGCCTGCTGACGTACGTGCAGGTGGGCGGCCATTCCGCCCTCCACCTCCACCTCCACGCCGGCATATGGTATGAGGATCACTTTCCTTTACCACTACCACCACCACCACCACTAACCACTAACCACTAACCGCTACCACCATGCACCCACACAATCTTTCCCCACCAATCCACCTACCCCCCTGGCCCCCCAGGGGCGAGCTGACCAAGCTGGGTCGGCGCATGGCGGAGTTCCCGCTGGACCCCATGCTTGCCAAGACACTGCTGGCGAGTGAGACGTACAAGGTACGTGCGTATCCGTACAACGCGCACGCCTTGTACGGCATGACACAAAAAGGAGCTGCAGGGCCGGACTTCGTCGGAGCTTCTTGTTTCGTTTTAGGGTTTTAGGTTAGTTGTCAGGAGGATGTCATAATACACGTTTCACATCGGGCTTTTGCAGATCCCCGCGGCATGCGGGGCTTCTACGAGGGAAAATATCGCGAAGCTGGAAAAGTGCGTTTCGCGAGTGTTTGTACGAGTGTACTGCCCTCAATGTACGTAAACGTACCTGCGTATGTATGTATTGGCAACAGCCCCTGACATTGTGGTGTGTGCAGGTTTCGGAGCAGATTGCGACCGTCTGCGCCATGGTCTCAGTGGGCTCATCCATATTCTATCGACCCAAGGTAACCCCCCAAGGGCCCCACACGCCCCCAACCGGCGCCCACACGCCCCACCTAGCTGTTTGGGTTCGGCTTGCTTTGCCACCGGGGGTTTCCTTAGTTGTCCTCGTTGTCCCCGGGATTGCCCCCTCCACTCACGCACCTATCCGGTGTCACAGGACAAGGCGCTGTACGCGGATAACGCCCACCGCAACTTCGCACGGGGGGGTGTGGGCGACCACATGGCGCTGCTGGCGGTGTACGACGGGTGGGCGGAATCCGGATTCAGCACGCAGTGGTGCTATGAGAACTACATCCAGGTGTCGTACGTGTGTGTGCTTGTGTGTGCTCATGCTGGTGTGGGTGATGCACTCTACATCCCAGGGCCATGGACATGTCATGAGTGCCGGTTGTAATGATGCCATGGGCTTTAGCCAGGAGTAATCTGATTGGAGGTTGGAAGGGCTCTCGGGGATTGGGGTGATGGGCTTGATTTATAGGGGGACGTCAATCCAAAGGGGGGGGCGCCCGTGCGGCAGGCAGCACCGTTCCTTCCCGGTGCTGTCCCTTCCAGAGCTGGGGAAAGGGTGATGGGGCCGCCTGTGTTTGTCGGTAACAAGTGTTCATCCATCCGTTTGCCTGCCTGCCTGTCTACCTGATTTTTATATTGTCTTTTTTGTCTGTCCGTCTGTTGCCATGTCTGTCCATCTGCACCCTCCACCCCGTTGCTATGTTTAATGCTGTTTTAATGCTGTTTGCTTCCTTCCATTGCTCGACTGGTGGGACCCACTGCGATTCAACAACCGCCAGCATACGGCGACGTTCCCCTCCCGCCCTTTCTCCTCCCCTTTGACTACTTACTCCCCCCCGCCCCCACCCCCACCAACAATACGGGGATAGGTCCGGTCCATGAAGCGAGCTCGCGACATTCGGGACCAGCTCGTGGGTGAGTGTGTGTGTGTGAGGGGGGGGGAGAGGAGGCACATGCAGGGCAGTGGGGAGCCGGATGTGGAAACGTGGCAGGGACCACGTGGGGCGCCTCGGGGTGGTGTCGTGACAGCGCAGGCCGTGACAGGGCGGCGGGGAGGCCCGCAGGGGGCCGCTCCCGAATCGGACCTCAGCCCCGTCATGATAACGCAACGCGGCCGTCCGCACCCCTGCGATGACGTCATCCCACCTCGCAGGCCTTATGGAGCGTGTAGAGATTGAGATGGTGGGAGACCCGATGGACCTGGACGGCATCAAAAAGGTGAGGAGGAGCAGCAGGCGGGGTGAGGCGGCATCATGAGGCCGCTCCTAACCTTTCCCGCGCCCAGGCCCCCCAGCCGGCTCCGGGTTGGACGCACCATATCGGGCGTGTGAAAGTGAGCTTAGGGTTCGTCTACTGGTCGGGAGCCCCGTCGAGGCAACACCGGCAACACAGGTGGCCGGTTTCGGCAGGTGGTGCCGGCATCGGTGGCAGCGAGTGGCGCAGTGGGTTAGCAGCAGTAAGGCCCCCAGCCGTCGCGAGGTGTGGCGAAATCTGACCTTAACCCAGATAGTTGCCGACAGACAGACAGATGGACAGACAGATAGACGGACGGAAAGTTGCCCTGGCACGCACTGCGGCGCTCAGGCCGTCGTTGCTAACGCCCCGTTGCTAACCCTAACCATGGGGGAGCCGGTGGCTTCCGTTTCCTAACCTCCGCCCCCCCCTCGTGTCCTGTTTAGGCCGTTGCTTCGGGCTTCTTCTACCACACTGCGCAGCTGCGAAAGGACGGCAGCTACCGCACCGTCAAACACCCGATGGTGGGTTCAAAGCGATACAACCGCGGGCTGGGAATGTGCGCCCCCTGGCGTTGTGCCCACTTCCTGTGGGTCCAAGTCCAGCCCTTACTATCACTATATGCATGCAGAAGAAGGAAGAACCGCTAAAAGCGCTGCCCTGTCATGCTGATGTGTATATGTATGCCTCGACATGACCAGTGTTCTTGTCCCCGATGTCCTTGTCACACGTCCAAGCGCTCCGAACCCTCCTCCGAAAACGCACCAGGAGTTCGTCAGAAGCCTTTAAGTGCTGTGCTACCGCTGTCAGCCCCTCGGGGCGCGCCCGCCTCATTCGGTTGTTTGTTTAACGCCTCATGGTCCGCCGTCTTTCTTCCCTCCTTAAACCCCCTCCTTCACCCCCCTGCCTGCTTTCCTTCTTTTTCCCGTTGTTCTTGACCCCCATAATGTCCCCAGATGGTCAACCTGCACCCCAGCTGCAGCCTCAACCCGCCTCGTCGGGAGGGGCAGCCGCTCATCCAGTCGCTGCCGCGCTGGGTGGTGTACCACGAGCTGGTGCTCACCAGTAAGGCCTTCATGCGCACCGTGAGCGAGATTCAGCCGCAGTGGCTGGTGGAAATCGCGCCGCACTACTACGACCGCAAGGACATCCTTGAGGAGGGGGCCGGCAAGAAGGTGCCCAAGGCGGCCAAGGCCAGGGCGGCGCTGGATGCAACGGCGGAGTGATCTTGGGCGGGTGCTGGGTGGGGCCCTGGGGGCTGGGTGGATGGGGTGCCGGGAGAGAAGAAGAGGGGTGGGTGGGATGGGAACGAAGGAGGGGGAAGGGGGAGGGTTTGGGAGTCTGCATGCGGGAGGTGGGATCTGGGTGAGGGTCGTTGCGGAGTGCACGGAGGGTGCACGACATGTCTGGTGGAGCCGTGTAGAAGGGGGGTGCAGGGGAAGGGGGGGAACGAGGGCTGCAGTTGGCGGGTGGGCGTGCTGTGATGCGAAGCGGTCAATTGGCTGTGGGGCGTCCTGTCGTCTCGGCGAGCGCAACGGGCGGGTGTCATGGTTGAGGGTGTTTTGGTGGTGGGCCAGTAAGCAATAGTTCGGTAGATATAGACGCTGTGACCGCTGCGGTTGTTTAGTTAGGCACTTAATTTATTGATTAGCGGAGGCAGCAGCAGTTGCAGCAGAGACAGCAGCAGCAGTTGCACGTTTGCGCTTGCAAAACCATCTGACGTGGTGAAGCAACTATGATAGTGTTACGGCTACTCACCGAGAACGTTTTTATGACCAACCTAACCGAGTCTGTTTTTTCAGCTTTCCGACCTGTTCACAGCTTTTTGTTTCAAGATAACCAAAATCTTATATCTGTAATTTGCCGGTGGCTGACCTGGACGGCAACCAACTTTCCTCCTCATCTACCATGATCGATTTCCTAAGAACCTATTGAGGTCTTGCACATGTATGACAGAAAGGTTCCAGACTCGATAGGTGTGGACTGGCGTTGAATGCTATGAAAGGGAGTACGTGCCATGCACCCCAAAACGCGCCGCGTTCGGCGTTCGCTTTGCCCGGTTGCACGGCAGAGCTGCGCGGCACAGGGCACAGGCCAGAACGGCAGACGTGTCAAGCGGAAGCGCCCTGCCTGGGTACCCTTGAATTGTAACGAAAGGACGGGACAAGAACAGAAAAGGGCAAAGTAGGGAGGATTGAAGGGCCTGGGGAAAGGAGACTGAAGGAGCAGTCGAGTGCACGGCCGAACGCACCGGGTTGGCAGGCAGCGCCTCGATGGTGGGCTGCACTCCAGGCGGTTCTGTGCGTGTAGGCCGACCGGGTGGTGCAGCGTTGATGCTGTAATTGATCCGGTAAAAATATTCCTGGATGCTTAGTGGTGCTGGGCGCTGGACCAGCTTCATGGGAAGGTTGAGCGAAACAGAGGGTAAGGCGGGGACGTGCCGGGAATCAAAGTGGTTACGTTTGTGTACGGATATTCCCCTATCACACACACTGTGCTTGCACACCGGGCCCACTCGGAAATCGTGAATCTGACTATGGGCAATCAACACGGGCTGCAGGCGGGGCGCTGGGCAAGTTGCGTCGCTATTGCCTAGCTAGGGAAGCAGCGCAACGGGCCTCTGCCCTTGCGTGGCGGGTGTCGAAAGGCGGGCTGGCTTGCGAGCAAGCTCCGAGAGGGTCAAAGTTTACGCCACGGGAATTATCGTAAGATTACTTAGGGGAATATCTACCAAGGCACCGCGGATGTTAAGGGGCAGGTATTCGGTGCCCCTCCTTCGCACTTGATGGGGATGCATACCGGCCCAGGGGAACTACCCGACAGGCTGCGTCTTCGCTTAGTGGCTTTGGATCTTCTCGATGAACTGAATTTCATTTATTTCCAAAACTGCTACTGGCGTTTTGGATTTGGAAATGCTCCTGACAGGAAGCTAGAAGCTAGATTGCCGAATGTGTAAGCTAGCTTCCGGACGGAATGACGGAATGCAGTCAGTTTAACCACAGATATTTACATGATAATGAAAATAAGGATGAGATGTTGTTGCATTGGACGGTGCAATGTGATTCAATGGATATACGCGTGCGTCAGTTATCACAATCATTCCCGACGAACGGACGCAAAAGATGTTCTTGGAGTTTGCAGCAATAAATAACATTTTCGTGTACACTTATAACGCGCTTCACCTACTGAAATGCTGCTATCAAGACGGTATGTGTCACAATGCGTTAAGCAACAAAAGGCAGGCCGATTTATTCACATCGCATGCAAATCAAAGAGAATATAATGAATCAAGGATCTGAAGATAAATCGACCGACCGGACTCTCAGGACGCGCTTGTCCGCTGTGTACCTCGTGACTGTATGGGGGATACTCTACAACATCCCTGCGCCTTATGGTTTTATAATATATTTAGCACTGTACACATAAATTCTAGTAGGAAATAGGTCGGACGATACAGCGCTAGCAGTGTTGGTCTAAGGCCGGACGAGAGCCGCCGTAAAAACCGATTTTGGTGATTCATCAGTAGGCTCCTCTTAATGAGTATGCCAGGTCATAAGCTTACGACACTGCTTGCACTAAGCGTGCTGGCGTTTAGTTGCTTGGTCGAAGGCCACGGGTGAGACCGTAAGAAGTGATCATCCTTCCGAACACTCGAAACGAATCAGCTGAGCTATGACTAGAATCACTTAGCTGCATTGCTGCTGATTTGCAGAGGAGGCCTTCACGACTGGTCATTCCTTCCTGTGCCAACACCTGGTAGGTTAATCGAATTACGAAGACAGTCCTTGTTGACGCAGGGCTACTGCAACTGCTCTGCAAAACCTAGGGGGAAAACCAACTGAGGAAATCAAATCAGATCGGTGTCAAGGGACAGTAGCTGGTGTGCTTGCGGACAAGGAGGGTTGCCCGATGTTGTGCATCCCACTCAAAAGCCGGGAACTTTTCCAATCCTTGCCTCCGCAGGCAAGGAATTTATTCGTCACCATGTCGCTTCGTGCTCCTTATGGACCACTATCGACCCGTCTCTGGGCGTCCTGGGCCCGCTGCCCATGTTTCCGCCCAGCGGCTCCAAGCTCACGGCTACGGGCTCCGCCTCCATCTTCTACTTTCTGGATGGCAACTGCACGGACCGAGCTACCACCAGCATCGACATGAACGTCAACCTGACGCTGAATGGACAGCCCTACGCTTTTAAGCAGGTGAGCGCGAACCGCTTATTGCTTGGCCGTAGGCGCCCCTTAATGTAGTTATGCAAAGGCTGCGAAGACCAGCCAGCCACTGGCTACTTTAATGGATGGCTAGCTGGACCCTTAGCTGGATACCTTTCTGGTAGTTCTTTCCATTAGTCAGCGTTACTCATATTCAAGCCGCTTGCAGACCTATGCAATTTAAGTTGGATACTACTAGGCTAGGATTACAACGAGTTCCTAAGCTTCGATCCTAAGATCCGAAATGCGTTGATAATATGTTCATCGTGAATGCAAAAATTTCATCGTGGCTAATCTCTGTTAATTCTGAGATCCTATGATCTCAAGTTGCCCAGATGATTTTCCTTACAATGAATCTTAATGAAAATGGATGCAATTCGGTGGCTTTCATTCAGGCTTGCTAGCCCGCGACTTGCGACGTTGCTCGTACAGGTTAACGGTTACGGCTTCATCGGCAGCTGCAGCAATCCCAACGACCTGTACCGCCACAACGCCTCACTCGGCGACAACCGCTTCAACCTGATGTGGTTTCGGAGGGAGAACACCAACACCACGGAGGAAGGACATTTGTCGGGTGCCGCCCCCAACGTGATGATCTCCCGTGCACCGCCCGCCACTGACGCCCTGCGGTCGCTGGTGCTGTTCCCCTCGCCAGCAGACAGTAAGTATGTCGAACGCAAACCGCTTTATGCCCGTGCCTGACTTAAACCGTAACCTTAAACCCGACAGACAGGCACGCAGGTGCTGTCCTAGAGTTGGCTAGTTTGCCTTGTCTGGCAAACTCGTTAGTCGTTCTTTTCGATTGGCCTGTCCGCATGCTGATCATAATAATCATCATCATTATCTGATGTAGCCTGATGAGCTGATGAGCTCCCCCTGTCTAGGACGTTTCTTAGCACCGTGAGATACGTTGTCCGCCCAGTGGAGCGTCTCCGGTCGGGAAGGTGGTAGGCCGGTTGCTTGTGACAACAAGGCCGGGTCGGGAGCCAGCAGATTGGGGCCCGTGCATTCCTGCATCACGTCTATCTGAAGACCACATATAGAAGCAAAGGACAGCACATCACCGCAGAATACGGACGCATATAAGCCTGGAACGCATGCATGCATGCGGCTGCACTGGCTGGGAACCGTAGCCATGATGGCCATGGGGATTTAGGAACTGACTGCCGGGTGCGTCGTGCTGTCTGTCGCCCCTTTCATCAACCGTACACCCTTCCCGCCCTGGTGCCGTGTAGGCGACCCCCTCTGCTGCGACCTGGTATACAACCCGCCACCGCCCGTGGACTTCTTCACCCAGGGCTCCTTCTGCCGGGTCCCGGCCCCACCGCCGCCGGCGCCACCCAGCCCGCTAACCCCAAGCCCCAATCCGCCTAGCCCGCCGCCTCCAAGCCCCAAGCCGCCTAGCCCGCCGCCTCCAAGCCCCAAGCCGCCTAGCCCGCCGCCTCCAAGCCCCAAGCCTCATGGCGACAGCCCCAGGCCCCGCCCTAGCCCCCGGCCTAGCCCCCGTCCTAGCCCCCGCCCTAGCTCCCGGCCTAGCCCCCGGCCTAGCCCTCGGACTAGCCCCCGCCCCAGCCCCCGCTCCAGCCCCCGGCCTAGCCCTCGTTGAGGTAACTTCTGATTGCGACACATTGGGCTGTTGATCCAGTCGTGCAGCGTTGCCTGGATACGGTCAACTGCTTACAGTAAAGAGATATGTGTCTGCCACATGGCACCACTACCCGCCTGCTAGGCATTGCCGCTTTCAGACCCGCCTTCAGTTTAGCTGCAGTTGTTTTGCAGTTGCGCCCTCATGAACCTAATTGGGCTGGATGGACGGAGCCAGAATGCTGCCCACGCCCTTTGAAACCCCCGGGGGGGTACACGTGCTGCTGCTACCGTCCTGCTCACATGTATCCTTACATCCATACACTGGCACCAGCATATTGGAACCCCCATAATGCTGTAGCCCCTCTGCTCTCGCTTCGTGAACAAGAACACGCGGTGCGTGATTGTTCCACATTCTTGCGTATTGGGTTCTTGGGGGTTGAGCTGCTTGTCCGTACCTTCGTTTTGCTGGTCTTCAGTTTTTTTATGTGTTGCTGTTTGTTGCTTTCGCTTGTTTGCAGCAGTGTCAGGCAAGGTTCTGTAGCCCGCCATTATACATCCGGCCCCGCGGTTTCGAGTGATTCGGAGCGGTGCGAAATGTGTGTGTGTGTGAGTGTGTATAATTAAGTGCGCTTGTATTACTTGGTGCGCTTTGGCAGCTTATACAGATTAAGCTTGCGACAGGTGTGTGGTGCGCCGCCAGGTTGCTGAACTAAACTCCACTCCGTGTTGGTGTATGTGGCGCCTTCCAAGGTCAACAGCAGCTAAGCTGCCTAACTAACTTCCGTTTTGGATCGGGGAAGGAGCCAATTCGAGACCTGGAGGGATTGTGTAGCGTGGGGCATCGAAGTCGATAGTCAGCGTGAAGCGTGGGTTGTTGCAGTGCGGCGGTTTGTTCCCAGTGGCTTCCTGGACGCTTGGTACAGCTCATAGGATGGGTGAGGAACAGGCATGCATGTTGAGAACGTACATGCATATATGTATATATGTATGTATGTGGTATATGGCATGGTTCGACATATGTACGCATCCGCAAACATCTGTCTTTCCGTAATTCATGTTCGTTTTGCGCGAGTTTCATTTCTTAATTGTGACAGGCGCTTGTTAATTTATCGTTGTGCTGTGCTTTGAGAAGCAAGGCGAAGGGGGCCTTGCGGGGTTTCCTGCCCCTGAGTGCCCGCCGCGTGATGTGGTGCCAGGGGGACGGCTGGGCTGTTGGAGAGCTCACACACACACACCGGGCTCAAATCCGCCTGCCGACCCCTCGGTGTGTGAGGGGTGTTGAATTGGGAGGTGGCAGCCCATCTTGTGGACGGTGTAGGACGTGATTATATCAACTTGCGACCTGACCAGGAACTAAGGTGTGGCGCCGTTGATCTGCTAGATTTGGTTGGATGCTGGTGGTGAGTTGCTGAACCCAACGAATACATTCTGAAGTCGGACGGGGTGAATGGATTAGGGTGCCCCTCTTGCAGGGGAGAGCAGGGAACTGCCTCAGGCAAGGGGGCCGCTGGTGAAGCTATACCACCCTGTAACATCATACACACGTGCGTGCGTTCGTTCCTTTACGAGAAGGGAAGGTGTTGACACCATGACGGTGTTAACACCAGGGCACGGCCGGAGGATGCACCGAAGGTTGGAAATGAGCGAGTGTCCTCTCATCCTCCTTTATGCCGATGACATTAGTCTTCTGGCAACGACAGCGGGGCGCATGGCGGAGCTGCTCAACATTGTGGACATGTTCTGTGATGATTTTGGGATGCGGCCAAATGTGTCGAAATGTGAACACCTCGTTTTTGCAAGTGACAGCGAAACAAGGAGTGCTGTCCAAGCATCGTGTGATGAGCTCAGGCTGGCTGCCCAGGCCGTACTGCCTAAGGAGAGTGCACGATATCTGGAGTTAGTGTATGGCCCGAATGGCAATTGCGGGCCTGCCGCCAGCAGTTGTACGACACAGCTAGAGCAGCTATGTTCGCGTTGGGTACAAAATTGGATAAGCTAAAGTTGTTCGCCCCGGATGTGAAGATGAGGTGTTTTGACACGCAGGTACGAGCAATACTGTTGTATGGCTGTCAAGCGTGGGGGCCGTTTATGCTAGCTGAAGGCTCAGGAGGCGGAGTGATGCGAGTAACCTTGCAGAGGGGCCCTTCGAGGCATGCCTAATGGACGGGGCAGTGCAGCTTCAGGTATCTTTCATGCGACAAATTGTAGGAGCTGTCAAACCAACGCAGCGCAAACTTTATTTTACTATGCTTAACCTACGCCTCCTGTTCGCTGAATTGTCGCAGCTACCCCTACACTACCACGTTTTCAAATAGATTGTGAGGTTTTGGAGCCGTGTCCGTTTACAGCGTGGGTCTGTGGCACGCCAAGTTTTGCTACAGGAGGTCGAAGAGTCCCTCTTCAACCCCGAAGGGGCCGGATGGGGGCCACTACTACTCCGTTTTCTAAGTTATCTGGGGCACGACGTATGGAAAGAGCCCCGCAAGGGCTACACGAGTGGACGAACGAGTGGACTGGCTGATGAACAGGCCAAGGTGTGGTATTGGAGTTCAAGGACCGATTGGTGAGTGGTTGGAAGCATACGCGTCTATTAGATGTTCAGCCAGACATGTACCCGTCAGATGGCAAGCAACCAGGAATTCACATGGCGAAATATAGCTTATGCATTAAGGCGTTGCTGTTGGGCGTTGGCGGCTAACAGAGCGCGCAAGGGACGGCGTTATATACCTAGGGAGGAGCGAAACCCTGAGGGGATGACAAGGAAGGCCACAAGGTCTTGTGGAATACTATTAGCCGTAAGGCGAATGTAATTATATTACATTAAATAACAATGCCGTGTAATGAACGTCGTTTTCTAGGCCAACGGACTCTAGTACCTAGTTTGTTCGGTGCTAAGCCTAAAGGTTTCCAGGGCTGTCGGGGCTTTGCGCTGCGAGCTCTTCCTGAACGTCCATCACCCGGGTACCCGCAGTCTGCCATTTGAAGTCACTGAAATCGTTCAAGGTACCTTCGATAAGTACGACTAAGTACTGTGTTGTTGAAGGTTGTCCTGCATGTAAGATATACATCTGGAAGTTCGTTGCAGGTTACGGGTCAGCAACGCTGCCGGTGCAGCAATAAGCGTATAGCTGGTGCATTGACGGTGCGAAGAAATGATAGCGCAGCTGTAGTAGCAGTCCCTTACCTTACCTTATGCGTTACAGCGAAGACGTTTGGTCGCGAGGCCGGGGTAGGGGAACGTTTCGAGAGTTCGAAGACTTACGAAGAGAACGGTGACAGCAAGGTTTTAACCCTGAACACTAGCATAGTGATACAAAAGTGTCTGGCCGAAGCACTTCACCAGCTTCTCCACCTGCAGGGTGACTTATATGCGGCCCACTTGCCGCCATCTTCATTCCTGGAGTCTTGCAGTGTGAAGATCGTACGCTACGTTGTGATAGCGTAACAGAAAGTGAGTTCTACAGTTGAGGAGTACGGTTCATATTTTCAGTACCGTACCGCTGCTGTGGTTAAGCTTTAATAGCTTAATATATTCTCAAGGTAAATGTAGCCAACTACATCCCTTTCCTCAGAAGCGAACCGTCCGGGGAGTGCCACCTCTTGTTGTGAACAGGTGCTTTCCGTTTCGGTTGTTCTGGGGTAATGTTCCCGGGGTGCTACCGAAGGAGAGGTGGCCAGGACCACTTTCCTCTTCGGTGTAGGTTGCCCGGATTTGGCCGCCAACCGTCGCTCATAATCGTCAAAAGATTCGGCCGGGGGAACGGACTGACGCAGGGAGTCTTCCGGTTCATAGGTGTTATGACTGGAGTCATAGCCTTCCCATTTAACCAGATATTCCCGTCGTGTTTTGCCGGTTCCACCTCGGATCTTAACATCACGATGGTCAAGTGTTATGACTTGAGTTAGTGCCTCAACCATGTAATATGGCTCTTCATCAACTATGAACGGGGGCGGAGGTTGTCGTGTTCCATCATCCTTGAAAGGTTTGAGCAAGGATACATGGAAGACCGGATGGAATCGGGAGTTGGCGGGTAACTCTAGTTTTACGCATTTTCTCGCACACTTGCGACAACCTTATATGGCTCAATAAGTTTAGGCAGTAACTTCTTTTTCTCCAGGTTATTTCTCAACTGGATGTCGCGGGTGCTGAGCAGCACTGATTGCCCAACCAACCTCACAACGCACGGAACGCCGGCGCTTGTCGGTGTCATCACACCATCGGGATTACGCAGCCTTGAGACACTGTTTTGCTTGTTCAATAGGTTTGCACGTGACCTTGGGATAGAAGTGCGACAGGCTATTCAGTCGTCAGGTGCAAGCCAACCGGCTCAAGTGGTTAGTTTATACCGTTAAGGGTGGCAACCGTTGAGCGCTGCCTCGAGGTATTGATGGCAAGCTCGATGAGTGGCAGATGTTCTTCCCAATCATCCTGAGTTGGCGAAATATAGTGCCGAAGTGCCTCTTCCAGTACGCTGTTCATTCGCTCGGTTTGACCATCCGTCGGGGGTGGTAGGCTGTACTCGGAAAGTTTCCTTCCAAACGTTGCTTGTAAAGCGTGTGTCCTGGTCAGGAACACTATTCTGTAAAAGGCCCTATTGTTTGGAAATCGCAAAGCCACACAGAGGCGGGCTAGACCCTCCGCACCGACGGATGTAAGCAAAGTGCGTCATCTTGCTCAGGCGATCCACGAATACTACTATCGCGTCATGCCCATTGCGGGTTGTGGGTAGCTGTGTGACCAAATCCATTGACACACTATCCCAAACGTTATCTGGAATGGGAAGGGGTTGCAGCAGTCCGCCGCTTTCGATTTGAAGCCTTATTGCGCTGACAAGAACTTATGTCGACTTATGTCGACGACAGGACAGTCGTGTCTCCTGGCCTTTTTGGATATTGCTAAAGCTTACGATTCCTTAGATCGTAATTTTTTATTTGAAGCAATGGATGCTATGGGCGCAGGAGCAGGGTTCATTAGTTGGACTAAAATTCTGTTATCTGATACAGCGTCGAAAGCGGTAGTAAATGGTTTTTTTTCCCGTGAAGTTGCTCTTACAGCGGGTGTGCGACAGGGATGTCCGTTGGCACCGTTGCTATACTTGTTTGTCGCGCAGGCGTTACTGTGTTGGTTACAGTACAACCAAGTGGGGATTCATTTACCCCAAAATAATTCAGAAATGGTTACAGGTGTGCAATTTGCTGATGACACGGAAGTTGTTTTAGAAGGAATCCAAGCAATTCCGGCTTTCCTTGAATGTATGAGGGTGTACGCACAGGCTTCTGGACAGCAACTTAACCTGGATAAGGTTGAGCTGTTACCTCTCGGCACCCACCCACATATAACAATAAATCATGACATGAAGGTCGTACATATGGCTACGGCTCTCAATCTACCTTTTACGGATGTGGGAGAAACCACAGGCAGGGACTGGGATGTGCAACTAGACAAAGTCTGGACTAGGTTTCGACGCATTTCGGTGTTAAATCTTTCCATTTTTGGGCGTGCACATGCAGCGGCTGCATATGGGCTGCATCGTTTTACGTGGCATATGGAACACGGGGGGTTTCC